TTCGGACATTAGCCGTGCTGACAGACACTAAAGGAAGTCATATTTCATACCGTCTAATCACACTTGATGCTGCATGTCTCCCAGAGACCTAGGAAGAGCAAGGTGGGGACATACAAGCCTCTAATCTTAATTCAGATGAGCTCAGACTCCTTGACCCCTTTATGATCGAGGAACACTTGTTGGTTAATAAAAGCCAGATTATGTTCTGAAAAGGGACTGCCCTACCTCCTTCGCTCAGCTGCTGAAGTGACCTCCTCTATCTTACCTCCTTTAGAACGTATGGATCATCAAAAGAGACTTCCAGGCTAAATCCTTTTGTTCTGTTAGAAAAGGGAGTTTCGTAAATCTTAAACCCGTGGTGCTGGGCTTCCCTCAGGGTAAATGGCACATTTCCTATTGTGATTGCCACCAGAGAGACATCGGGAAGAAAGTGTCCAAATGCAACATTAAATAGCCTTTCCTCTGGCAGAGTATCTGTAGGGAGAGAACATCAAATTACTGCTGATGTGGATCAAGTAATGAAGACGGTTGGGGTGGCCTCCCATTCAAGTTCCAGGAAACGTTGCCAACAGCCATCTCTTTAATGGCTCTGATTAATGAGTGTTTGTATTCTAGTCAGATCTGAAGTACTCTGAGTACATGAGAATTGCTTCAAGCTGCAGGAGATTAACAGCAAATACATACAACTTTATAGAAAGTGGGTTCAGTAACTTTCTAGAGGTGCACTAAGATGTGCGATGACTTTCTTATAAAGAAATCTAGAATCTAGTTCAGCCACAAAAAATATGGAAAAACTATCGTAATGTATGCTAAAAGGTTCCTTCTTCTTTCTGTATCAGTTATCCAGACAGGTCTGAAGACGTTTAGTGTCTTAATGCATTGGAAAATATCATGAAAAAAACATTACTGCACCACTGGATGGCACAATGATTTCAGTACACTCCGAGGATGACAAATGAAGGCAGTTTGGGGGAGAAAATGCTATCAACAAATGCTGTCAGACTGTTCTCCCCAGTGTGTTGTGCAATTATCACAACATCTTTATTCTAGGGTCCCAGAGCTCACTGGAAACATCTGGATGTTAGCATGAAAAAAATGTTTGCTTTCTTATCAGCAACTTCTGATTTTCATTTCATCCCATAAGGACAGGTGATAAATGGTACATCCTTTAAGGCTAAAGGTTTGGTTTTTTTTGTAATACCTTGAATCTTGACTTTGGCTAACAAATTGGAAGTGGGAGTTGAGAACATTCTAGTGAATGTAGGTGTGTGGCAGAGGTCAAATGGAGCAATGTATAACACAGCAAAAGCAAGACATTGGTAAAAGTCAATGAGAGGAATGACTTACTGTTGGTAACAGTTGGTATTTGTGGCATGAAAGGTGTGGTGATGGATTTGATGACAGTATACTTTGTGGTTTGCCAATCTGCATCTGTCCACGTGTGCTCCAAAAACAAGTCAATACTATAAATGATTCCATATACACCACCAGATATGGAGCTCTAAGAGGTAAAATTTGTGATTAAGTCTTAATTCTCAATAGCTCAGTAGAGGAATTACTGAATAAGGTTAAAATTCTTACACTAGAAAGAGAAAATGTTATCCTAGTACAGTTTGGGATGGATTTTACTAGGGGAGCTGGTTGTCTGTGTGCTTGGCCCATTTGTCTGATCAATGTTTGGCTCAGCTACTGCTGAGATTCTCAGTACGGAAGGATCAGGTTTGGTGGGGTGTCCTCATTAAGTTCAGTAAGTAACCGTATTTGCATTTATTTTTTTACAATCCCTGGGTTACCAGTCATGTCTCTCATTCTGTCTCAGTTCACTGTGAAAGTTTGTCTGTGCTTCTAGCAGTTCTTTATACCAAGCTTGTCTGGTGTTACAATACACATAGTGCTGTAAGTGTCCACTGATACACAAGAAAGTGAACTTCTGAAGGGGATAAGTCAAAATCACACCAAATCATCTTCACAAATGGAACTGGTAAAAAGCCCTATGAGAATATTGCAAACTCCTTTCTAAGTGTTCAAGGTCAGGTTGGATGGAGTTTTGAGCAAACTGATCTAGTGAAAGATGTTCCTTTCCATGGCAGGGAGTTGGACTATATAATCTTTAAAGGTGTCTTGCAACCCAAACCATTTTATTCTGTTCTACTGAACATTTCTTTCGACATTGATTCTGTACCTGTAAGTTAGAGACTGACAAGGAATACACTATGTCCAAAGCAGGTGGCTGCACCCAAACTACCTGCTGGGAACCTATCCCATGCTAAATCATGCTGTCTGCATGGAAATTGTCTGGGAAATTACTCCTTGACTCAGACCAGAAGTTTGCCAGGACTAGTTTCATAATGTAACAACATAGACAATTGAACTCCAGTGCCCAGGAATCCCTTAACTCTTACTTTATTAGTATATCTTACAGATTATTAACAAAAGACAGTCTCTTGCTTCTATCATGTTTTGTAATCATAGGTACTTAGTTTCTGAGTAAGTGCTTTCAAAATACAGAGAAGGAACATCTAGGTCTTCAAATATTTCTTATATCTAAGAATTTTAAGCAGCAATCAATCACTATTTGGAATGATTTGAAATGACCATGATTTAGAAACATCTATGGTGCAGACCCTCAAATATATTAGCGTGTGATACTTTCATACTAACCTTTAGCTTGCCTCCTTCTGCTCCAATAGGGATAGTTATTCTGATGTGTGTCTCGTTGTGCTCCAGTAAGTAGTTCTTCTCCTCCAGGTTTACTATGACTCGATCATCGATTCCCATTAAAATATTTTTAGACAGAAAGGTGGATTCTTGAACCACTAATGTGGGGATAACACTTGGCACAGTCCATGTTAGCGTCCTATCAGTGAAACTGATGCCATCTGTTGAGTTAGATAGACAGTCCCAGAAGACCGGGTAATTGGAGTTACCCGTCAGTCTTCACTCTGCAATGGTTGTCTTTCCCTGACTCCTTTTCTCCAGGGTACTTTTACAGCTTTCACTAATGAAACACCTTGCAGGATATTAGCCAACTGATGGCTATTTTGTTAGAGAAACCCTGGTGCTTCAAGTAGAATTGAATCACCAGTTTCAGGTGACCAATTAATTTATTCAGAAGAGCCAACAGTCATGGTCCCAGCTATCTGCTCTGTTGTCCTTCTGGTCCCAGGATTTTTGCCTTACTGGCAAAAGGAATGGGGTACAGAGCCACCTGTTTGGACCTTCTCCTTGAGATATTGGCTTCAAGATCATGACAACTTAAAACCACCTGCTTCCTCATCAGTTGTTCACATTAATACTGTTCTGTGAGAGACAGAAGGTGCAGCTACTACTGTTCTGCAAAGAGCCAGGCTAGTTCTGCCTCTCCAGAGAAAAGGACTAGGTGAGTCCCAAGGATGCAGAGCTGCATCCCCTGCGTGGAGTTATATGACAGGGGAGAGCCAAGGCTGTGGGATTAGTCCAGGGTAGACTCCCTGGCCCTTCTGCAGCCGTTTTACTTGTCTCCAGTTCCCTCCATCTAACATGGGGGTTTGAACAACAGGAGACAAGGCATGAGTCTGCACTGGGAATACAAGTAATGTAGCGTCACAGCGGGGAACGTGTTTGTCCGGGACTAAAGCCATGGACTCTTAGCTCATGTTGCTCTGTGGGCAGCTTGTAAACCTCTCCTCTCACAGAGTAGGTCACAGGGAAATGGGGAGGCTATGTTTTCTACTAGCTCCTTAGGCAGCTATTTTTGGTGAACAGGGAAGAAATCCTTACCAACAGGACAAGAGACAGTCGTGTCAATCAGCAAAAGCAGCCACCGCTGCCTGTACATGGAAGTGGAAGTGACCATGTTCATATTTACACCACTGACCTGTTAGGTTGCAGGCAGAAATAAGAGAACTGGTGTTCTAGAGAGGCAGTGGAAACAGCATAGTTTTGTGTCCGATTGAGAGCAACAACTCACCATGCTGATGTCAGACTCGTTGCTGTGATAGGGCGCACGGAGGTACACGCGGGACAGCGTATTATTGAAGCTGTAGCCCAGTTTTGCTGCATCGCTTACCGTTATTCTCGTTCTCCCTGATGGAGAAACAAACATCAGTTGCCATTGCTGGTATGCAACATTTTGAGTCTGCAAGAGAGAGATGAGCTGCGTCAGATCTAAGTCTACCAAAGTCTCTTATAAGCTATGCTATTGTAGCACCTTCTAACTGTAGCATCAGTTAGAAGCTGGAGTAACTGGAATGACACTGGACACTACTAGTTCACCCCAGGCAAGAAATACCCTCGATATATATAAAGATAAGGAATTCTATAGCTCTTCAAGGCATCTTTAGAGATAGTCTTATAGCAGCCCTGGGAGAAACTTAGGCTGGTGGCCTTGAACAAATCCCCTTAGACAAACTGCCTGTGCTGTTAATAAGATGATTGTCTTCATGTCTGTCGATTGCTGGAGTCCAGAGGCCAGATGAGAGACTACCTTTAAGAGTATGTAGCCATACTGTGTCAAAGATAAGAAAAGAAGAATATCTGTACTGGTCTAGAACAGAGCCTCCTGAAATGATAACCATATGAGAGGATAGTCAAAAGGAAAATTGGGCATAGGGAGCAAGTAAGACATGAGTAAAATAGGACAAGCGTATGTATTTCACCCTAATACTTTCCAGCCTCAAATAATTTTCAACTCAGGGACTCCTGAGCTATCTGTAGCTTCTTTGTATTTCATATGTCTTGTTGGATTTCTCTTCAGGCAACTTGTCCAGAGTCTCCTTGAGATCAAGCAAGTTTTAGCAGCCACAACATCTTTTGACAACAAGTTTGACAGATTCACTACCCATTGTGTGAAGAACTACCTACCTTTGTTTGTCTCGAATCTAGTTTCCACTAATGTAACAAGCATATGACTCTCTTTTCCCACCTAATTGTCTTTTTGCAGTCTACAGCTCTAAGAAGAGAGGTTTTTCAGTACTTGATGGCATCTTTGCCATCTCCCTTTTTTTGACAGAGATGGTTCTATTCCCCAAGAATGACTCATGAGACTAGTGAGAAAAGGCAGGCTAGGAACTGTTAGGAAAGACTCCCCTTCATACCTCTGGGAGTGCTGACATCCATGCTACGGTGTAGTCATTTGAAACTGCAGGGACATCAGTCTTCACTGACACCTGGGGACACAAAGGAGGTGCTTTGGGAACAAGCAAATCTTCAGCATTACTATAGGCATAGGGAGCAGAGACAAGGCTTTCAGATTTCTTCTCCAGTGTCTGTTGGGATTTAGCAATTCGCATCACTAGAGGTAATTAAAGTGTTCCAAAGAGGTTCTTGGTGGTGGTAATTTCTGTGGCCTTAAAAATGATAGTTAAAGCCATGGCATTTATGGTGGTGCATGTACAGCAGAGGCAATACTCTATGTATAACCAGCTCAATCAAAAGCCCTGTTTCATATCTGATAAGCTGTAAACTAGATCCCCCTCAGGAGACTTTCAGGGGCACCTGGGTCTCTCCACCAGAGGTATAGGAAAGCAGGCTATTGGCTTTAACAGGGCTGGTTCCCTCTTCTCATGCAGGCTGAACACCTGAAAATGCAGGATCCCCAATACCTAAGGGAGATGCTATGGTGTAAATCTTGTCAGCATGTGCTGCAGAGTGAGGCAAGTTCTGGACACTGAGTTGGGAGTCAGCGTTTGCCTCAGACATCTGTACCATGGCTTAAGTGTGTTGCAACACCCAGATGTGACTGCACAAACTCAAGTTCTAGCCGGAGGAATATGCTTTCTTTGTCCTACTTACAGTGAAGTTTGTTTTGTTCAGTGCCTTATTTCTACATTGATGTGTAGATGCTGGTAGCAGGCTGGACCAAATTGTACCACCCAGTGGGAGGCAAGTTCTGTCTCACGATGATGTCCTGTGAGTTGTGTGATGCAGCAGAGGTGGAGCTCTGCAAACTCTAGGTTTTATTATTTCAAATATGAGGATGACATTCTTACAGGTGCTGCAGTACTTTATAACATAAAGGTATGCTCATGAGCTAAAGAGGTTGGCCTGCCTGGCTGCTGATTTGCTTGCAGTGGCTTGACTTACATCATCTGTACAGTTAACCGAATTTCACTGCATTCAAAATACCTGTGACATGTAAATGTGTTACTAATAAGCATCTACAGTAACACTGTTTGCTGAATATCAGCCCATTGCTATTACTCCTTGTGCATAGTATAAAATCAACTTCTGACAGGAATTTGTGGAGGTTGTTGTGCCTGGCAGGGAGCTTGGATGTAGCTTTGCCTTCAGTGGGAAAGCTTTTACCTCCATGTAGTTTTCTTCACACACAATTTCTCTTGAAGCCCAGGAAGAGTAGGAGCAGTACATAGGGTAGGTGTAGGTCACAGCTGCCCTCATGCTTGAAAATGAGGAGACCTTGATGTTCACAGTCAGTGAAAACAGCTCATCTGCCTGGGAAGAAAAACAGGCAATTCAGCAGTGTGGAAGGTCCCAGGAGCAGCTGCATGGGACCATCCAGCCCAGTCTCCTGTTCCTGAGAGTGTTTTATAATGACAAGAATGGGTTGAAAGCTGTATTGAAAGTTCCTGCAACATACCACCCTGTCTTAAGAGGTTTGTGGGCAGGAACTTTCTGAGCCGGAGACTTTGCTGCAGTACTTACAGCCTCTGCCTCGGATCACATCTCAGCACTATTCTTGCCACAGTGTTAAGGGGCAGCTAGGCAGGGGAAGATCTGGCCTACATCACCATGAGGTTCGCATTCCTCACGTTCATGGCTGCTATGTGCCTCCTCACGGAGAGAAAGTACTGCAGCTTTCAGTTTGACGTAGGTAGTTCAGAGCTATCTTACAAATGCTGTTTAGTGTCTATCTTGACTAGCTTCAATAAGAGCTCCTTCTGGTCTTTCCACTCTTCAGGAGCCACACATGAAGCCATGGACTGTGCTTCTATCTGAAGTGAATGTGTACTTTTCTATAGAAAAAGGCAAAACCTTTCCAGAGAAATTTCCAGTCTGGAAATCCTGGTCGTTGCACAGCACACTGTACACCCCTGTTCTTGTTAGCTTAACCTCTGCCCATAAAGTTTTACCTTATTTTTTCTGTGGGGCTTCCAGGACCAACCAGACTAAACACGGACAAGCAGTGAAGTTTCTACTCTGATATGTTCTGTTTCTAGGTACATTTCATCTCAACTAACATGAAATTAGAAATCCAGGCTACACTTTTACACATATTTTAAGAAGGGGTGAATCACCTTCCGGAGGTGCCTGTTTCTCTCCGTTGACTATTGTGGAAGTGTAAACAACCAGTTTAGACTAGACATTATCTTTTAGATGGCTAAAGTTATGTGAGACAAATCTGGGTCTAATAGATGTGTGTGATCTACGTTCCTAGGCATGTGTTAACAGGCACATTACCACACAAATTAAGCCAGGAAATGATCTGCCAGAATCACACTGCAAATGTTGCTTTTTCAAGCAGATGCCTACTTCTTTCCAGAGAAGCTTTCAAGAAACTCTCTGGCAAACCGGCGGCTACAAGGATATGCTTGAGAACTGGCAGCTAGTCAGCAGCATTAGGCTAAGTGTCATTTCATGTAGAGAGGAAATCCCATGTCAGTCACACTGAACAAACCTCATACTGGAGAGCCATTGCCTATTTCTTTCTACACACCACCAACACTAGCTCCTTGAGTTCACTTTTGAGTTCTCAAAACATGCCATTAGAATGCCATATAATATCTCAATCTTGTCGTTTTGGAGAGGATGCACTGTCTGAGTTGTTTTCAAGCCCATCTCTGGGTCTTACCTCGTTGACCACATGACAGCCAAGCACTGACGCGCGGAAGACGGGGTTGCCCCACACGTCTTCTGACAGGACATAGCCACAGCGAGATGCTAGTTTCTCATCCAGCAGAATGGGACCAGTGTAAGGATCTACAGAAAAAGAGCATGACATGTGGGATGGAAAGCTCAGGGCAAGTCACAGAGCAGAGCGGTGCTGAGGGCCCCTCACGCAGCTCTCCTCTGGAAGGAGGTCTGGCTGGGTTGCTTGCTCTCCAGCGTTGTGTGCTGTTAAGGAGCTGGCAAAGCTGTGCTGGTATGTGTGAGAGCACATGAGACAGTTTAGCATGTCTCAAGCTCACCCACATTATGTTCACTTTAATGCACGCTTCTCTGTGCCCAGAAGCTTGTGCCACAGCTACCTTGAAGTACTACTATGGAGAGCTGGTCTGAAGCATCATATACCTTTCTCCCTCCCTGATTTTACTCTCTAGAAAAGAGTTATGGGCTATTAAGCCCATCCATTTCTAAAAATCTTCAAGTTGTGATAATCTGCTGCTCACTCTGGTCAAAGGATGCAGTCATGGACCTGTTTTGGATGGATACCTCTACAGGTTGGTCAGATCTGCTGCTTATCTCTGGTTGGCAAGGCCCTGCGTGCTGTTAAACCTACGGGGGAGCCAAGTAACAGACACGATGGGAGCTGACTGCACTCAGCTCTTGATACTGATAGAGTTAATAAAATCATATTTTGTTAATTTTCTGCCCTCTGATTAAAGAACTACTTTAGTCTTGGGTTAGACACAAGAATCTGTACAAAAACCAGAGTTTAACTAGCTACCATTGTGATTTCTAGATTTTTCTGTTGTCTTTATATGTCAAACAGTACTAATAACCGCTGTTTCAGTAGATGTATTCTTGCAGCCAGGATAGACTAAGGAGATAAGTGAGAAGAATTCTGGAAGAAGAAGGAATAACTTTTATGATTGAGCTGGAAGAAACAAACAACCTTTTTGTGCCTGAAGGCTGGTCTGTTTTTTCCAGCGATATCAGTTGCTCTAATAAATGCTATCACTTCTCCCCACACCCTTGCTGTACTTGACTTTTTCAGTTCTGCCTCCAAATCAATTGAAAAAAAAAAACAAAACCCAGAAAAAAGTGGACTGATCTCAACAGAAAGAAATCTGGTTTGGGGTGAAATCACATACTTTTTTCAATCTGATGTGAACATTTTCTGGTTTTCATTTTGGTTAAGTAGATTCTTGTTTTCCTCAGCAAAATGGAAACCCTTTGTTCAATCTGAAATAGGGTATTTAACTGCCATTGTGGTGTTAAATAAAAAGGAAATTAAAAAAAATCCTTTAATTGCTGCAGCATGTACTCAGCAGTTGTTGAGAGTGTGTTTTCTGAGTATTACCCAGCCTACACTACTGTTGTCATTTGTGCTGTCCAGGTCATATCCAAGCTGCAATGTCACCTTTGTTTTCCTTGCTAGACTTGCGTAAGGGCTTAGCAGAGGAAAAAATGAAAGCCAAAAGTCAGTCCTGCCTCCTCAGACCATCCTTTGTCCTTGGCCCAGCATGTTAGTTGTGAGGGGCAAAGGAGACTGTGGCTGTAGATATAAGCTTTACTCATCTGGAGGGATATTGGCCAAATTGAGGTGCGAGAGGCCAGGTTTAGGTGGCAAGGATGTTCTGCAAGTTCTTTGGCGTCAGTTACCAATTATCGTGTAGATGGCAGCAGCATCCAGTGTCCTAGTGTCTGTGATCATTTAGGTGATTCCCCAGCCTTCATGGTACTCAGGGAAGCCACATGTGACTCACCATTGATTTCCAGCTGGAAGAACTTTCCCTGGAGCAAGAGTTTATTCAGTTTCATCCAAAAAATCCTGGAGCGGCAACTGCTCTCTACAAAACCTGGTGGGAGCACATATAGAGCAGATGAGCCAGTGGGACTGGAGGGCAGAGAAGAGGCACATCTTGTTACAAGCAAAATAAGCGAGTTCTCATCCTTGCATCTCCCCACTATCCTTTTATCATGTTTCACCAACCTGGGGGAGCCATCTGCCTCCCTTGTCCCAGCCAGAACAGCAAGAAAAGCAGCCAGATCCTGCAGGATAAGTACATGAACAAATGACAGGGTGAACAGAGAAAAAAAAGATCAGGACAGAAAATGAACAAGGCAGCAAGCGAAGTCTCATTACCTGCATAGTGAGTAACCCAAAGCCTCCATCTGTCCCCAGCGACCTGTGCATGGGCAGCAAAGTTCTCCTTCCTTTGAAGTAAAGCTGACCCAGCTGCAGAGAGGGAGCTTGGTCAGACCCAGGAGGAAAGGTATAGCTGACCTTTTGCGACAGAGATTGTGCTGTCTTCTCCAAACCTTGTGTGTGAGTCAGGAGAGGTTGGTGGCTTCTGTCGTGGAGGGATGCCTGGGCTGCATCCCGCAGTGCCCTCCAACGTTATCTGAGCTCCTGGCAGTGGGAAGCAGCCTCCCTCTCGCTGGGAGGGCAGAGCACCCTTCTGCCAGGCGTTTACAAGGTCAGATGCTGCTGCTGAGCCTGATTTTAATGAGCGCAACAGAGGGTGCTCGGTGCTTTCCATCAACCCCTGGGAGGTAATCTCGTTCCTCACAAGCCAGTTGGGTAGCTTTGGCTTCAGGTCTTATGAGCACATGAAACGTTTCCCCGGAGGTATTTTAATTTGGTCTACACAGGAAATACATTTTTGTTTCTGTGAAATGTCCCAGTGACCCAGCCATGCCAGAGATAACAGCAGTTCTTTGGCAGCTGCACGTTTTGCTTTTGTGGATCCAGTTAGGTCGCCCTTTGATTTGTTTGATTATCGGAGAGTGTTTTGGTGAAAACATCTTGTTTTTAGAAGTGCTCTGATATCTGTGGATCAGTCAGACCATGCACAGGTCTGTAAATGGCCAAACATATTGCCTGGGAAGAGAAAGTCATTGCGCCTGGTGGGAGTTGTGGCTCTGGGACTGCAAGTGCCCTGCGAAGCAGAAAGGCCGAGAGGTTCGATAGAGCTGAAAATAGAGCTTGTGTGGCATGGGTGAGCTACGGTGGGTTGAGAAGTACAGGACATTCAGGTTGACATTTTAGCCATTGAAACCCAGGGCTCAGTCTCCTTTTGGTCCCCATTTTGGGGCATTACCCAACCATTCTTACCTTACTTTGGTTCACATGCATGAGCAGAGCTGTGCTGTAGAAACAAGATTGTTTTTACCATATACTTCACACTGCTTCAGGATAAACAAAAGCCAGTGGGCATGTCCACTCACAGGACACAATGCAATCGGTGTAATTTCCTCCTCTGTCCCCCACTCTCAGAGGACTTCTGCAGTAACAGACACCCACAGGACTTCTGCAGTAACCCACACCGCTGCCCTGCCAGACACGATCACTTTATGCAGCAGGGAGCCGGTGGCACGCTCATGTGAGTGCTCTGGAGTGGAGCCCTGGGGCTTTAGCAATCTCCTAATTAATGTCCTTTGGCCACAAGTCCCTTTCTCATTCAGCAGGAGCCGAAGTCCAACTTCTGCAACAAACTTCTCATGAGCCCACGCAGGACTCGCTGCATAATCCTGGCCTGCGCTGACTCTGCGTCCCCGGACTCAAGAGTGACTCTTCATTGAATCCAGCTGGGGCTGGAATTTGGCTGGAAATGGCGGCACTTAGATACCACAGTGATGAGTGTGGTGTAACAATGAGATTTTGAATTTTGAGCGAAAACTTCAGTATATTTGGATAGCAAACGGTTCCAATTCTGATAAGCCACTTCCAAGAGCCATGCAGCATCTCTCTGAGATACTGAGAGTCAAGGTCTGAGGGAGCCATGTTTGAGAGAGCGTGATTGCAATTTATTAATGAACAGCCAACCATCAGGGCAGGTACATGACTGCATTAGCTGCCTTCTTTGCACAAGCAGTGAGGAGATGAATTTCTGGATCTTTGGACAACTCAGATCATCGTGATTACTCTGTTTCTGGCATCAGTCGTGGTTCTAAATGTGGCAGAAATGGCTTTGGATGTGACATAGCAATTGTGGTCAGTGTGTGATAGCCAGCTCTTGGCCTTGCTGTCAACCAAGCAAAGCAAAACAAGTCCAGGTCAAATGCTTTTGGCATCCAAGGATCGCTTAAGTGCTGTGGAAAGCGTTGTTAGCATTGGGCGGCTGGAAGCATCAGCTGCTTGTGGCCCCTAAAGTCCCTCTGGTACTCATTATAAAGGTAGGGAGGATAAGCTTGTGCATTCCAGGTTATTATATTTGTCCACTCGGCTTTCCTTGCTGTTTTGGCTGCGTAAGAGCCCCCATCTTAATGTTCTTGTAGGGTAATAAACAGCTGCTGTGTTTCGACGTTGAGGTGATGGCGTTCTGTGGTGGATAAGATGATTCACGGCTTGGGTTCTTTCGAGCTGAAAGGTACCGTATGAATGTAATGTTTTGGTTTCTCTTTTTTTCCTGCCTGGGTCTGGAACTGGGTTTTGTATTATATAATGTGATTGAAAGTTTAAAACTGGCCACTTGGAGCAGCACGCAGATAGCACCTCTCCCAGCGAGGCTTGCTTTTAGTGGTGGAAAAAGGCTCCAGCCCTTTGAGTCATGGTGTTTGTCTTTCTGTTGTTCTGTGGCACTGAAATCCCCAGGTTACCTGAATGCTACAGAAAAAGACTTTTTCTTTTTTCTGTCCCAAGTCTTTTAATTATAATTTTATTTTTCCAACTGGTTAAAATGCAAGGAAATTTGGGTTTGTTTTGGTTTGGTTTGGTTTTTTTTCACTAGGTCCCATGTGATGATCTTAAGTAAGCCTCATAGTTTGATACTTCGTCTGAGTGTGGGATAGAGTTAAATGGCACCCGTTATTGGGCAAAAAACGTAACTAGTGAAAAATGGGAAGGGAAAAGGTGTGGTCTGGTTATAATGTACTAAAAGCAGAATCTGCTTATATACTGTTGGAAGAAGTCAAGGTAAGGGATTCCTGCCCTCTTTGTCCTCTTGCAGCTGCAGGACTGGAAAATTTGAAATAGAGACAGAAATATTCGTATGTCAGTATTTCTAAACCTAGAAATAGCTGCCCAAGAAGGTGACCTACAATGTGACAACCAACTAGACAGAGCCACTAGGAAATCTTCAAGAGGACGAGATGCTAGAGAAGATGCTTCTCCATGGTAAGAGCTATGTCTTGGAGTAAACTGAGAATGAGATAGCCAGGTTGTGGGTCCAGTGGGTGAGAAATGGGCATGGTGCTAAGCTTTACCTCTGAGAAACATTTTCTCGGTGTGTGTGTGTCTGTGAGACACAGATTGGTGAAAGTGATCTCCACCTGCAGGGCAGCATTCCTCTTTTGGAAAGGGCTTGATCAGCTTGGCAGGAACGGGTGCCTGAGCTCTGCTCCCACCTGCATGTGCCAGGAGCTTGTAACTGAATTCAAAGGGCTTTTAAATCCCCAGGGAAAAATAGCATATAAGGATAGTTCTGTTTTAACTTCATACCATACCACAAGATTACCTCACTGATGCAACTGAAATGCTCTGTCTGTTTTCGTATGCACGCATCGTGTTTCAGAGGGCTGTGGCCTTACTGTTGTGTGCAGATGGTGCAGAGGAAAATGTACCTTGTAAGGAACAACTATAGAATAATCAGGTTAAAGAGGCAATTTCTTCCTATCCCCATGAGCTGGTCGTTGGCTTATGCCTTGGACTATGAGGGTTTACGTTCCTTGTTTGCTATTATAAAACTACTATTATTATTATTACTATTGTTATTATTATTATTATTGTCTGTATAATGTTTGTTTAGAAAGTGTCCTTGTGTTTATGTGATTTTTATCTTTGAAATATGCCACACTCCAATTCATATGAATTCCAAAAAGCAACACTTGCTATCATTGCATGTCACTAAATCGTTAAAGTGGTGGAAAAAGCGCAAATAAGCAGACCTGTATAATGATGGGCTTTTAATTTTTTTTTAACGTGCCATTGGTGTTAATTTCTGTGTGCCTGTAATGTTTGTGTTCACTGTAACTGAACAATAGAACTTTGTTTTTGTTCTTTGTGTAAATTAAAAACATCTGTTCTCTTTATACGAAAAGTTGTTTTTTAAAAGAAGCTGGTCTGATCTAACTAAATACCAATGCTGTGTCCACAATGAGTTACTATTAATATTTGGGAAAGGCAACCATCCAAAGCAAGTGTAATGTCAAATCACTGGCGGGAGTGCATATTTATTGCTTGAAGTGACAGATAAAAATGCAAAGGTTACAAAAACAAAATTCTTGCGGATGACTGATGATGCGTATATATGCCCCCAATGCCCCGTCACCACTTTTACAATTGGCAGGGTGTTCTCCACCACCTCCTGCTCCCCAGGATTAATCAACAAGAGACTGGTAGCTTGGCACCCTCCCCGGAGGAGCGACACTGCTCCCACCTTCCCGCCAGCAGACCCTGCATGGAGTGACCTTCGGGGCATGCTGGGAATCTGATCCATCTATTTAATATGTCTGACTTTTCCCCCACCTCGCTCTGGTATTTGACTGCATGGGTTTATTTTCTGCTGAAGGCACGTGATTTTTTTTTCTTCGCAGGTGGAGAACGTGGAGCATCCACTGCGCATTTCTGTAGTACCAGTGATACTGGCATGATGGTGGTCCTCAGAGTTGTCTGTCAAATCCTGGTATGAAAGAGTTGGCAGCCCAAGATGGGAATCTGTCATCTTTCTTGTGAGGAGCACTCCTGCATTCAGCAGAAGTCTTCCTGAAGTAGTTGGAGTTTATTTCAGAGAAAAAAATATGCCATTTGCAATGAGTGCTGGCGGCAGAACTGGGGTCTTCAGCGCTCTCCCTGCCCAGGTGGCTGTGTAGCCTTATCACTAACGTACTTGAGCATCTCAGAGATGGTGAAATTGTCTTCACAGGCAGATGTCTTGGGAAGGAAGTACATGTAATTAACATTTCTTGATGAAGGACCTGATTCAAGAAAGTACCTCTATTGAGTGCAGCAGTTAAGCCTTTCCTTAAATCTCATTTATTTCAGTAAGACTTAAGCACAAGTAAACCCTTTCCAGACTCTGTGTATGCAAAGCCCAGACCTACTTCTTCACTTCCTTCTACCTCCAGTGTCTTGCTAGCCTTTCACTGGCAAGAACCAAGAAAAAAAGCTTGACCGTGTTAAAGAATTAGATATTTTGTTGACGTGCTTATTGCAGTCAGTGCCACAACAGATATTGAGCTATTACCAGCGTAACTTTCTTGCTGGCTCTTAAGATGTTCCATCCTAATGTGTCCTTCCCCTCTCCTGCTCTCCTGCAGAGGAGCCCTGTGCTTCTTTTTGTGTGCCCTTTTCCTTGACTACTCCTGATACC